TGATATTTTTCTTTGATGCAATTACTTTTATGAATATGAATTGCTTCTCCTTGAGTGCTGGTGACGCCTGTTTTCTTATAATGGTAAGTTCTTCAAGGTCACTTGCAATTATTTGTTGATTTTCTGTTGAAACAACATTCATGAAATAAATTAAAACAGTATTTTTTTTATTTATTACTCAGATGATTTCTACACTTTTGCGTTGTTTTCAATCTATAACTCTGCAGAATGAAGATGAATTAGAAACACTTGTCTATCAAATAATTTGAAACTTAAAACACACATTACAAATGTGTTTAAAATACAATCCCCCCCCCCTCTCCCAAATATATGTATCCTAATATTGTATAATTGGACAGAGGTATTTTCACAAGGCCGCAGTTGTCAAGGCATCTGTTCGTCTATGGTCCTTAAACAACCATAACTGATAGAATGTAAAACATAAACAAAGTATCCTTATTTATATATATTGACTAAAAGTTTAAAATACATTTATTTTGTGATGATACATTAATTACCATTGATAAATATCCCTGTTAATTTAAAAAAGTGAATGTTTGTATTGTTAGTGTAGAGTTACAAGAGTAATATCAGTTTTATAAGATTTATTGAAACCTAGTTGTTAGTAAACAAATCATACCAAATGAATAAAAAAAATACCTACACTCAATTAAAAGTACATTTGTCTTATTCTCAAATTTTAAATGAATAAATACCCCATACAAATAAAAAATCAGAAATAAAATTCAAACAATGAGCAGTATCAAGAGATACCGAACACAAATAAAATAGATTTAATTATAGATATAGCCTCTTAGAATATACTTGGACGCAAATTTGATTTAAACAGAAATCAAAAATAAAATCAAAACAAAAGTTACTGAAACTCAAAAAAAAAAACACTAAAATAAAAACACGCCTAATTTAGTCACTTCTAAATATACTTACTGATAAACTCAAATCCATTCATACCTAAATTCAACTGAAGAAGGATCAGTATGATTAATACTCAATACATTACAAGCTGTTTAACCTAGTGTAAAAGCAGGGCTATAATTAGACTGATTTGTAGCTGATGGAACCAATATTAAGATGCTATCCTGAATATTAAGTTGTGTGGCTGGAGAAAGCTCACTGAGGTTGAAGGAATGAGTGCATTGTCAAGTACCCTCTATGTAAAATTTGCTACAATATTGTATAGCATCCCCCAGGGGACACAGAATTAATCTGTTTTACCAACATGCTTGTAGCAATGGAATAGAGTCCAGAGAATATGCTGCTGAGGAAGAATAAAGAGATTTCTGACAACATATACACTAACTGAAGTACAAATTTTTCTGAAATCATTCAGAGGACTTTGTGTCAGTAATGTGTGTGTATTAGCCTATCCTATATACTTAGTGTTGTTTTATATGTGTGGTTTTAATTAAAGTTAAAATACTACATTGTATTGGTATATTGGGGAATCAGAAATTCACATATTTTCTAAAAAGAGGAATTTAGACAAATTTTTAGACTTTAACAACAAAAATCAAAGCAAAAGCTAAAAATAAGTACGTTTGTGGAATGGGGAGTACCACATACTGAAACTGGATCTCATACCCTGTTGGATATACAGAGTTATAGCCCTTTGTTCATTTTTATACCAAAATTGTCCCGAGATTGAGGACAATGGATCGCTTGCTTTTATTCATCATCATTCAGAATCTCATATGTATGTCAAAGCGGACTGAAATTTAGGTAATGCAGACATTCATGTATATATACTGTAATACAGATTGGAATGAATTAAATGCATACACATGGAGAGAAACTGAATTCGTACAAACTTATAATAGGAGAAGACATACACAATAAAGCAGACTTTCAGCAGTTTCATCATATATGTTATTAACATATTTAGTGCTGAACAGAGTTTTACTCTTCGATAATACTGATAGAAATCTTCTGTCTAAATCAGAAATGATTGATGAAAATCCTCACTACGTATTCATTTTGGGATTCTCAATCATAATCTGTTGATAAATGATGCTCAAACGTCTTTTCTAGAGATTCCTATAAGGTAGAAAACTTGATTAATGACAAAAGATCAGAGCGATCCCTTCTAAAACTTGAGGATTCCATATTTGTCAGGTAGTCTGTTCAGATTAACTTCATGGCCTAGAGTGACTGTGACTGATGCAATTAAAGTCGTATTTTAGTTTTAATTTCTGTTAAATCAATACACTCCATTTGACTGCAAATATTTTCTGAAAACATTGGTTATATGTTTGTTTCCATTCATAGACTTCCTTATTAATGAACATACATCAATAACCAGTATAGTACCACAGTAATACACAGTTTTGTACCACAGTAATAGACAGCTTTGTACCACAGTAATACACAGCTTTGTACCACAGTAATACACCGCTTTGTACCACAGTAATACACAGCTTTGTACAACAGTAATACACAGCTTTGTACCACAGTTATACACAGCTTTGTACCACAGTAATACACCGCTTGTTACCACAGTAATACACAGCTTTGTACAACAGTAATACACCGCTTTGTACCACAGTAATACACAGCTTTGTACAACAGTAATACACCGCTTTGTACCACAGTAATACACAGCTTTGTACAACAGTAATACACCGCTTTGTACCACAGTAATACACAGCTTTGTACCACAGTTATACACAGCTTTGTACCTCAGTAATACACAGCTTTGTACCACAGTAATGCACCGCTTTGTACCACAGTAATACACAGCTTTGTACAACAGTAATACACAGCTTTGTACCACAGTAATACACATGCAGCTTTGTACCACGGTAATACCCATCTTTGTACCAGGGTAATACCAAGCTTTGTACCATTATAATACCCAGCTTTGTACCACAGTAATACACATCTTTGTACCATGATAATACCCAGCTTTGTACCATGATAATACCCAGCTTTGTACTACGGTAAAACCCATCTTTGTACCACGGTAATACCCATCTTTGTACCATGATAATACCCAGCTTTGTACCACAGTAATACCCAGCTTTTGTACCACAGTAATACCCAGTTTTGTACCACAGTAATACACATGCAGCTTTGTACCACGGTAATACCCATCTTTGTACCAGGGAAATACCCAGCTTTGTACCAGGGTAATACCCAGCTTTGTACCAGGGTAATACCCATCTTTGTACCCGGTAATACCCATCTTTGTACCAGGGTAATACCCAGCTTTGTACCAGGGTAATACCCAGATTTGTACCAGGGTAATACCCAGCTTTGTACCACGGTAATACACATGCAGCTTTGTACCATGATAATACCCAGCTTTGTACCAGGGTAATACCCAGCTTTGTACCAGGGTAATGCACAGCTTTGTACCACGGCACATGTACCATACATCAATACATATGTACCATACATCTAGGCATACCTATATGTTATATGCTTCAATAATTACTCATATACACAGGTTAAATACATATTATACTATATCATGTTCATCATCATAACTAAAAAGGAACTATGACATATTCTCTGTGGTTGTCAATGCCAGGATATAATAATAGTTTTTGTAAACTTTTGTTTTTTGATAAAAAAGATTTTCCTAAGACAGCCTCACCATTAACATTGAATGGACAGAAAAAAAGTTTGCAATCATGGTCAAAAATAAACATTTAGGGAGGAACCAATCATCAAATAAACATTTAAAAAGAAATGTTACATACGGAAATCATAAATTTACTTGCACTATTGATTGTATTTAATGAAATCTTTTGTTCAGGATGATGAAGGTCTTGGTATGTGTTATTCAACGAACATTTAGAGAGTGATCTGCCTAGAGTTTCTAGTTTGACACGATTGTCGATAGTCATGAAACGAGACACAGAACTTTGAACCACGTATGTGTTTGCTGACAAGAAAACATTCCCCCATGATAGGAAATGTGATCGTACAACTCTGTATTTTGACATGCTTGCCTACTGTTGCAGTCTGTTGATCATAGACGATTGATCTGAAGGAGTGATGATCAAGCGTTATATATGTATTGTACTGTAACATCAGGCTGTGATCAGATAGCCAAAGCGAGGCTGATTTTGAAGTGCAGAGTTTACGACCTCTCTTATGTAATGGCATTTTAATTTTGCTGTTGAGTACTAAGTAAATTGAGGTACAGCAATAGAAGAGAGTAGACACGCAAGTTATCTGCCCTTGACACACACGCAACCTTGATGTTACATGTTAGATGTTATCGCAGGGAAGGTCTCGTGGGGAACTGTAGACAATCGGTTGGAACAGTTGCCCACACACTTCTAAGAGAAAAATATAACAAATGACTTCAACCTCAAAAACGTTTTGTTGTAATCAGTGGAGGACAATAAACGAATAATGTCCCAAAAGTCAAATTATACTTAATACATAAATCAGTCCATACCTTGGTTTTGAAGAAGATACTTGGCAAATATTGCTAGGATATTATGGAGTTTTTCATCTGTAATAGGCACAGGCTAGGTGTTGTTTTTCAAAATGAAATTGTGCACTTTGATTATCATCAGTTTTGATCAAAGCATGCAGAATAGCATTTATTCACAAAAAAAAATCTTTTTGATTTGAAGATATTCTCTTGTCATGTCATACAAACCTCACAAAGGAATAAGACAATATGCTGAGGCAGTGAATATATAAGTCTTCTCTATAAGAGGCCCTTCATTTGTGAAGTTCACTGTTCTAAACATAGTGGTCATGGACGTATCAATGCTACTGTAGTGGTATCACATTACATTGTTTAAGACTGCTGTTTTCTGTTATTTTTCTGATAAAGTCAGCAATGTGTTTTATGGGGAAAACTCAAGGATTTGAACCGAGGACCCAATCCATTTTAACATAAACTCATGACCACTACAGTGAAATTATGTCTTCTTATACAACAATTGTCCCAAAAAGTAATTTTTGACAAAGATAGATCAAGTACAGGTAATATCATATATTTTTTCTGCACATTTCAGAAATCAATTGGTGGACGGATCACGGAAGAGAAAATCTTGGTGATGCATCACCCTATTTTCAGGTTTGTGGACTGCCCTTTATAAGTGTAAATCAATGGCCGATCTAATATCAATTTAAGATATTGTAACTATGCATCTGAAACTGTGTTATTACATGACCATAGTTTTACTAAATCCTTTAGGAAAAGATTGCAGGACTTTGTGGAAAAAACCCAAAGGTAACATAAACAAAATACAATCAACATCATCCGAGTGTAAGAATTAAGCAGGGTTATACACGGATTTAAACCCTGGACCTCGATTGTTACACTGTAGCTGTGAGCTACCTCACTCAGGTCAACACAAGTGTCTTGCTACGGCAATATCCAAAACCAAATTAAGGGGAGGTTACTGCATATATTAAGAAACCATTAAGAAAAAAGAGTTTAGAGGGACAGAGATCCAATTAACCAGAGTGACAATTCTAAAACAGCTTCTATGAATTTTTTACCTTGATTTATTAAAAATGTTTCAAATTCAACTTTTTTCACATTGACCTCATTTATTGTGCGACACACTTCCTTTCCGTGGTTTCATATACAAAGTTCATATCCAAATCAGCTCACAGGAGTAGATGCCTTTTTGTAATTTGGAAACTTAATAATAATTTAAATTTCATCAAAGATTTAAGATGAAGCTGTTCTTCACCAAAAATGAATGACCTGTATTTAGGCTACCAAGATAACTTTTTAGGTAAGAGAGTGCCAACTCATTTCTACTGCAGATGTGTATTGAAAAGTTATATTCCTGTTCAGTTGAATTTGAAATCCACATATAAAACCTGTATATAATAACTTTATGATGGTGATCGGGAGGTGTTGTGTACATCCATTGATGAAGGAGATGAATACCACAGTAACTGATTCCCATAATACCTCACAAAAAATGATTTCCGATGTAACTTTTGGGAGGCCTGATAAGTGACCTATTTCCCCTCTTATATGTGGCACTTTTCAGTTTTCTGAGAGTTAAATGACCTCAATGGAGATAATCTAATTGTTCCCCGACATTTTCCTATACATAGAAGGTACTGGTTTTGTACCGTAAAGGGTCATTCAGTTCAAAACAAATCACCTCATAATAAATATCAGAATTAAATATGGGCAATTTGATCAATACTATAACAGTTATAAGTATTATCTATGATAATTAGGTCATTGCAGTAATATCAGTCAATGAGTGCTTTATATAAATATATTCAAATTTACTGGCTTCGTTTATATTTTGGTTTGAAAAAAGAAGCATTCAGCATGCATTGCCCTGACCACAAAGCTCTAGTTTTAATGAAGAACAAAGGTCAAGGTCAATGTTACTATAAATAGTATATATTTGTCATTGCTTCAGTGGCTTAACTTGTTTTTATATGACCTGGGCCCACTTGTATAAAACATTTCAACTCATTGAGATTTCCTCAAGTCTAAGATTTCCCATAGACAATACATTGTTTGAAATTTTTCTTAACATTGAGATGTTTTATACAAGTGGGCCCAGAGTCTCAAATATTTGACCTTGAACTACTTTCTAGATCACAGTATGTTCAACATGAAAACCATTGTAATAAAACTAAATTTATAATACCAGTATATTGTGTGTTTTTTCCTTGTAGAATTTTCTATGTGTCACATGACTCCCAGGACCTGAAGATCTGGAGCTACATAGCTAGAGATGGACCCACCAATGTGTTCAAATGTAATGTGTTCAAGGCTTATAAAAAGGTAAGGCTTTCAACTTTTTCAGTGACACAAATTGCTCTATACTTTCGTTGTACAGCAAACATCCAAGATCATCACAGACGACCTTGGCTAAGTGACACGATCTACCACTTTATGTTGGAGGTCCTAAGCTATAGATACAGTGGGTAGAGTGGTGGACTCCAATTCATTCTGTGTATACCAATGAAGGTTTATCAATGGTATTTGTTTCAGCACTTTTTGACTTCGAAAAAATAATTAAGGGACATAGCACTAATTAAAAAGAACAAAATAATGTTCTTAACTGATTAGTAATATTGCATGGTTAATCAAGAGGGCTGGGTCCTCCTGGTTTAACAGCTGTGATTGATGTCAGCTGCCTTGTCACCTGTACGACTTTTGTGCAGTAAATGTAGGAGAATTCACTCTACAAGCTCAGCGTGAATGTATTCCTAATCACTCCAACACATGTTCATTTTTGTTTTTCCAATTATTTATGAGAAGATGTTTGGAAATTAAGTGTGTTTTGTGTAAGATTTATTGATGGAGTTATACACAATCACACTTTCGTAATTGCTAAACAGCTTGCCTGAGCCTCAGAATTAAATGCTAAACGTGCAGGTTTGTTTTTGAGTGGTAAGGAGAGATAAGCACATGTATTACACTTCAAAACAACAAACATGAAGGAAAGTAAAGGATATGTAAGTATTATATGATAACACTTTGTAGATGAATCATAATATTCTTCAACCCAGATGAACAAGTATTAAATTTTGTCAGGATTTTCAATCCACAAAAAAAAACCCATCTACTTGGGGAAGGGACATAACTCAATATTGAAAAAGTTGAATTGAGTTTTTGGCAAGGGAAAGCATTATAAATTGTTTTCAATTTTTAATCTGCACTTTTCTCACCATTTTCCTGGGTTCATTGAAGTACACTGAAGTACGAAATGTGTGCAATGCAAGTTTTCTTCTATATATTGGCTCAGATTTCAATTTTGGGGATTTACTCTTGTTGCAAATTGGTTTTATATTTTGGCACCTGAAGTATACATTGTTCTAAACCTGTAGTTATAGTGGAAGCATCATTCCTTCTACAGTATTCTTAGAGGTCATCAAGTGTTATACACCGAAGGTGTGAAATGGAACAGAACTAATCTACACAATTTCTTGGAATAAACAGAACATATATGGTTAATTTACTCTATCATGAACTAGATATAAAAGACGTGCCAATGTTTTATTTTATTTTCAAAGTGTGTGTGGCTTCTCTAGGCTTCATGTACTGTTCTGACTGAAAGAACTAATTCATGTACTATGCTGATGAAAATTAAATCTAAACTTTATTTAAAACTTAAAAGAATTGATTTATAGGTTTTGCCCGTTTTTCAGATGTGTACTTGTGTTATTCCTAGTAGTTTTCCAAGTGTTGGTATCATGGGTTGCCAAGTGTTGGTATCATGGGTTGCCAAGTGTTGGTATCATGGGTTGCCAAGTGTTGGTATCATGGGTTGCCAAGTGTTGGTATCATGGGTTGCCAAGTGTTGGTATCATGGGTTGCCAAGTGTTGGTATCATGGGTTGCCAAGTGTTGGTATCATGGGTTGCCAAGTGTTGGTATCATGGGTTGCCAAGTGTTGGTATCATGGGTTGCCAAGTGTTGGTATCATGGGTTGCCAAGTGTTGGTATCATGGGTTGCCAAGTGTTGGTATCATGGGTTGCCAAGTGTTGGTATCATGGGTTGCCAAGTGTTGGTATCATGGGTTGCCAAGTGTTGGTATCATGGGTTGCCAAGTGTTGGTATCATGGGTTGCCAAGTGTTGGTATCATGGGTTGCCAAGTGTTGGTATCATGGGTTGCCAAGTGTTGGTATCATGGGTTGCCAAGTGTTGGTATCATGGGTTGCCAAGTGTTGGTATCATGGGTTGCCAAGTGTTGGTATCATGGGTTGCCAAGTGTTGGTATCATGGGTTGCCAAGTGTTGGTATCATGGGTTGCCAAGTGTTGGTATCATGGGTTGCCAAGTGTTGGTATCATGGGTTGCCAAGTGTTGGTATCATGGGTTGCCAAGTGTTGGTATCATGGGTTGCCAAGTGTTGGTATCATGGGTTGCCAAGTGTTGGTATCATGGGTTGCACATCAAGATAAACAGTATTTGGTTTTACTTTATGAAATGTTTGAGAAATAGTTTTGTGAAATGTGTTTCTTTAGGGACTTAAGCTTCACCTAGGCGGTAATCTTGTATTTTAGGGTTGAGCTGAGCGGAATTATGTTTTACAATGTAATTCATACTTGGTTCCTTTTATTTTTCTCAACAAGATAGCTTTTCAAGAATGATGCCTAACCCTTGTATCTATCAATCGTATTCCAAAATTTAACAATACCATACTGACGACATCCTTTGATTGGTTGGGTTTGTAGATTTACCAATACTTTGCCTTGTTTTCATCATCCAAATGTTTTCTGGGGTAATATGTCGATCAGTACGAACTCTGGAATGGTGTATTATATTTAGCCATTCATCACAGTTTCCTATGGTAATCATAATGTATCACACAATCAATGGTGAACCAGCTATCACTGTTGGTCAGAATAAAAAAACATGTGTATCAAAATAACTCTGATGTAATGACTGCTGACAGGTCATAAGAATAGCCTTATTTCTTGATTTCTTTTTAACCAATCAGAATCCAAACTTTTAAAGGCTGCTGATCAGACCCATCTACCTATCTCCTTAGTGTGATACCTCCAGGAGAAAATCGACATGTTATCAGATTGTTTATGTTTTCCTTGGCAGACATTTTGGCAACAGATGGTAAATGTGGTAGTGTGTAAACACTTGATATGTCTGAAGGAGTCCACAGAAGATTATCAGACGGCGAGGGGGATTACTTCAGTATGTGGGCCTATATTTATACCCCTTCCTCATCATTGGCTTAAAACATATTATGGAACATCAGGTTTTAAGTTCTCCTCGCTATACACCGAGTACTGTAAGATAGTGCTCTAGCTAGTACTTTCATTAATCAGAGAAAATGCAAATTCATCTTAATACATAGGTAGGAATATCATCTTGGCCTTCTGCCCCAGAATTCAATTCAATTCGAAGTCTTCCCTGTCCCCTTCAATATCCTTGCTGCTCCATCTTACCCGGAGTCTTCCCTGTCCCCTTCAATATCCTTGCTTCTCCACCCTGCAGGCCTGCTGTATATCTTGTTACTAAGACTGTTCCTCATTGCTCTGCCACCCTTTGCCTCCCTGTTACTTATCTCCCCTCCCCACTGTTATAATATCCAGTTTAGCTAAGCAATGCATCTGGAACAGAACAACTATTTTTGTGTATATGATAGAAATACAGAACCCAGATTACCATACGTTCTGAGGTTAGAGAGTAGTAGGAGGAGGAGGAGCGGGGCGGGGCACATTGATGTATAGCTGAATATTTCAATTAAAATACAACACTTGATATGTCTGAAGGAGTCTACAGAAGATTATCAGACGGCGAGGGGGATTACTTCAGTATGTGGGCCTATATTTATACCCCTTCCTCATCATTGGCTTAAAACATATTATGGAACATCAGGTTTTAAGTTCTCCTCGCTATACACCGAGTACTGTAAGATAGTGCTCTAGCTAGTACTTTCATTAATCAGAGAAAATGCAAATTCATCTTAATACATAGGTAGGAATATCATCTTGGCCTTCTGCCCCAGGATTCAATTCAATTCGAAGTCTTCCCTGTCCCCTTCAGTATCCTTGCTGCTCCATCTTACCCAAAGTCTTCCCTATCCCCTTCAATATGCTTGCTGCTCCATCTTACCTGAAAACTTCTCTGTCCCCTTCAATATCATTGCTGCTCCATCTTACCCGAAGTCCTCCCTATCCCCTTCATTATCCTTGCTGCTCCATCTTACCACAAGTCTTCCCTGTCCCCTTCAATATGCTTGCTGCTCCATCTTACCCAAAGGCTTCCCTGTCCCCTTCAATATCCTTGCTTCTCCACCCTGCAGGCCTGCTGTATATCTTGTTACTAAGACTGTTCCTCATTGCTCTGCCACCCTTTGCCTCCCTGTTACTTATCTCCCCTCCCCATTGTTATAATATCCAGTTTAGCTAAGCAATGCATCTGGAACAGAACAACTATTTTTGTGTATATGATAGAAATACAGAACCCAGATTACCATACGTTCTGAGGTTAGAGAGTAGTAGGAGGAGGAGGAGCGGGGCGGGGCACATTGATGTATAGCTGAATATTTCAATTAAAATACAACACTTGATATGTCTGAAGGAGTCTACAGAAGATTATCAGACGGCGAGGGGGATTACTTCAGTATGTGGGCCTATATTTATACCCCTTCCTCATCATTGGCTTAAAACATATTATGGAACATCAGGTTTTAAGTTCTCCTCGCTATACACCGAGTACTGTAAGATAGTGCTCTAGCTAGTACTTTCATTAATCAGAGAAAATGCAAATTCATCTTAATACATAGGTAGGAATATCATCTTGGCCTTCTGCCCCAGGATTCAATTCAATTCGAAGTCTTCCCTGTCCCCTTCAATATCCTTGCTGCTCCATCTTACCCGGAATCTTCTCTGTCCCCTTCAATATCCTTGCTGCTCCACCCTGCAGGCCTGCTGTATATCTTGTTACTCAGACTGTTCCTCATTGCTCTGCCACCCTTTGCCTCCCTGTTACTTATCTCCCCTCCCCATTGTTATAATATCCAGTTTAGCTAAGCAATGCATCTGGAACAGAACAACTATTTTTGTGTATATGATAGAAATACAGAACCCAGATTACCATACGTTCTGAGGTTAGAGAGTAGTAGGAGGAGGAGGAGCGGGGCGGGGCACATTGATGTATAGCTGAATATTTCAATTAAAATACATGTAATAGTTATTGATATACCGTATTATATGATGTAAGAGTTAAGTTAATTATATTGTACAGTGCTTTTGTCAACAGCAATTTAAAGTTACTTAACTCTTTCCGTTCCGTTGTCGTGTACAACAATATGT